TTTCCCCTACAGTGAGGGTGAGTACTACCAGTTGTATATGTCCCACACTAAATAATAGTACCACCACCCCTCTAGCTCTTTTAAAAATGAAGACTGTCAGCCTTAAAAACACCTGCTTTTGGTCAGCAGTACACGATAGCAACTAAAAGGTAGAGACTGACTTAAAATATTCACCCAGCTTCAAGAACCATTATTGGTTCTGCATCAGAAGATAAAGAAGAAATGGAGGACTTGTTTTCACTCAACAGTTTGCAATACGCTGCAAAGTGATTGAACTATAGTATAACGGTGCCATTCTGCTCCACTTGGAGAAAGATGACAATTGCTCGATCTGGCACATCAGTGGCCAGTTGTATTTTCTGTGGTTACCTTGTGGTAGACTGATCTTCTCTTATTCCTCACTGAGATAAGTGGTGTTAAAAGCAACAACTATCTTTTCATTCACCTCTCTGCTTAGCAACAAGCATGAAGATTAGCCATGTCAAACTGATGAGCTTTGTTTAGGGAGGCTATGAAAGGTGCCTATTGGTGGAGTAGTATACCTGCCACTACCATCCGAGTGTGGGTAATTTGTGACCTTAGAACAATTTCTTTGATGGTCAATCTTGGTGGTGAAATTCAATGGTAAATTGGATTTTCCTCCCTGGTTTTGCTACTGTTTACACAAAGCAGATTTCAGTTTTGCCTGTGTAGGGACCCTGCTTTAAGCTAGCTATATTTATTGTTGTTTGCTGTTAGGCTGTAACCAACCTGAGCTTTGCTTATAAAGTGTCCACCCTGAGGCAGCAAGCCAAAAAATCTCTTTCCAGAATTTGCTCATGGTGGCTGTATCAACCACTCTGAGTAACGGTGGTGTGCAGAAAACCACCTCCACCTATTTTGAAAAGCCCTGCCTGCTTGAGGAAAACACAGGCAGGGTCAGCAATTGAACCTGGGTACACCCCTAAAAGTCCTAGGCCTAAGCAGCACCTGTGCAACATTTACACAATAGGTTCCTTGCAAGGTAAGGCTGCCAACTCAGGCACTGGCCTTGGAGAGATGATGATGAAATCTCACTCAAGGAACCCAGTGAAAGAGAACAGGAAATAATAACACATATAACAGAATTTTAAAGCAGATCAATTAATATATTTTTTCTTATTGAAACCAAGTTGTTATCCAGTATGATATAAAAAAAATCAAATAAAATAGCCAGAAATATTGTACAGTTGATGAACAGTATGTAAACAACTTTATTAGACCATAATTTCATAGGGAGAGATGAGGCGAGTTTTATCAAGAAATAAAAATGATCGTGTATTTTTTCTCAAACAATAGCCACAAACATTGTACAGACTTGATGAACACAATGTAAGCAGCTTTAGCAGGCCATAATTTAAGAAGCATAGGCCAGGAAGGTTTTATCAAGAACTATAGATCATAGTTTAATATTTCACTAATAGCTAGAAATAGTATGCAGTTTATTCACACTACATAAACATTTTTATTAGGCTGCAATTTAACTGGGAGGTTCCAGGCATTCCAGGCTCACCTCATGTCAGCATACTACGGGTCAGCTCCACCCCTCTGACCCTCATAGGACCACCTCCAACCAAATAAAAGAGAGAGCGAGAGAGACACCCACTGTTTTTTCATCCTCGCTCCAGGCCACCTTTTGTTCTACTTCTCTGGAGAACCTCCCTACAGCTCCCCCACCTAGGTTCAGCCTCTCCTGGGATGGATGGTCCGGCTGTTGGCAGTAAACCTCCTTGAAACCGGGCACCTTAGTGCAGGCTGTTTGAAGCAGAATAAACGTCTGTTAGACAACAGGACGGTGGTTTCCTACATAATAAGACAAGGAGGAACTTGAAGCCTATCGCTTCTGAAAGTTGTAGCAGAAATATTTTTATTGGCGGAATTACATCTCAAGGCTCTTACGGCTTCTTACCTGCCGGGGGTGCAGAACACAGTAGCAGATCGCCTAAGTCAAACGTTCTTGGACAACACAGAATGGAGTCTCAACAACAAATACTTGCGGCCAATCTTAGTGAAATGGGGCACTCCGAACATCGACGTCATAGGCAACTTCAGAGAATGCCAAACTTCTGCTATTTCTATCAAGGTACAGATTCCCGCAAGCTCTAGCAATGGATTTCTTTGCAGTGAGGTGGAATTGTCCACTGAATTACATCTTTCCCTTAGCTCTGAGAGTTCTTCAGAAAGTGCAGGCGGAGTCAGTTCAAATCATAATAGTGTTGCCATATTAACCGAAGAGACCTTGGTGCCCTCTTTTGACATCCATGGCCTCGGCTCTACCATGCTTTTTGCCAATCAAGAAAGATCTGCTTCACCAGGGGCTCTGTCTTCACCCGGATCCCAAGTGCCTGAGTCTAGCGGCCTGGTTACTGAATTAAACAGATTAAAGAGTCAAGGATTGTCTAGGTCATCAATACTTTAATGAATTCCAGGAAAACATCTACGTACGGAAATTATACGAGAATTTGGAGTAGGTTCTTATTCTTTGCTAAGGATAAGAAATGTGTTGGATTTCCTTCAATCTGCTCTAGATGAAGGTCTGGCATATAATTCACTGAGAGTACAAATCTCGGCTCTCACTTGTTTCTCCGAAGTTAGATGAAGGCCCTCTAGTTAAGCAGTTTCTGAGAGAAGCTTTTACACTGCGTCCCCTGTTGAAGTCTTTTTTTCCATGTTGGATTTGGATATAGTGTTAAGAGCTCTGATGAAGGCCCCATTTGAACCATCACAGGAATGTTCTTTGTGGCATTTAACAGTTAAATTAGTTTTTCTGACACACTATTGCCTCTGCCAGGCGGGTCTCGGAGCTCTGTGCTTTTTCTTCTAAGGAACCTTTTTGTATAATTCTACGGAATAACGTAATCCTTTGGCCTTCCAAGGGTTCTGTTCCAAAGTAGCCTCAGGATTCCAGTCAGACTGTGAGACAATTCTGCCAGCCTTTACCAATGTATCTTCCTCAGGAGAGTCTTTTTCCTCTCTAGATCTGGTGAAACTCTTTGCCTTATATATTGTAAGGACTCAGAGTTTTCAGAAGACAGAGAGACTTTTTCTCTTGCCTGGCGGTAAGAAAAAAGCATTCCCGACCACGCCTAGGATTATCTCCTCATTGATTTAGACACTGATCAAGATGGCCTACACTACACAGGGTCTTCTGGCTTCCATACAGGCTCACTCAACAAGTAGTGTTTTGGCTTCATGGGCTTCATATGCTAAAGTTTCGGTGGAAGACATCTGTAAAACAGCCAGCTGGAGCTTTTCCAACACTTTTGTGAAGCACTGTAAGGTGGATTTTGCGGGTGGATGGCCCGATTTGGTTTCTTTGTAGTGAAAGAAGCATTGGCTCATTAAATTCTTATTGTTATTAGAGAATTTTTTTTTTTACCTGCATTGTATCGTTTGGGCTGATTGTGAATTTTTCGTATTTTTTACTTCCCACTCTTTCTGATTAAACTTAGTATGCTGACATGAGGTGAGCCAGGAATATTGAAAATTGTTATCATACTTACCGTAATTTCAATTTCCTGGCGTATCCTCATGTCAGCATGTGTTCCCACCCTGGTGTCCTTCCGCGGCTTGTTAAGGAACAGTGGGTATCTCTCACGCTCTCTTTTTTTATTTGGTTGGAGGTGGTCCTAAGGGGGCCAGAGGGGCGGAGCTGACCCGTAGTATGCTGGTATGAGGATACGCCAGGAAATGAAAATTACGGTAAGTATGATAATTTTCAATATTATTGGGCTGCAATTTAACTGGGAGGTATTTTTATCATAAAAAAATAACAGTGTATTATTTTTATTGACAAAAGCCATACATATTGTGCTGACTCCATGCACAGTATGTAAGCAGCTTTTACTAGGCCGTGGTTTCACTGGAAGAAAACAGACAATCTTTAATCTAGAACTTCACATTAGAGTGTATTATTTTCTAAAATAAAAGACTGACAGGAATTGTTTTGTAACCTCTTGTAGCCATAGCAACATATTCTTATCGTGGAGGTATTAGGAACTACCTGAATCTGTCGCAAGTGCTGATAAAGCTACCGAAACTGGCATCAGGACTTTTCTAAAGGTCCATACTACCAGAAAAGTGGTGTTGAGGCTTTATGGAGTTCCTGCATTGTCTTTGCAAAGGTCAAAGTTAAGCACTTCATCATCATGTATTTTGTTACATGTACTTACAAATATGTCATGTCTGTAGGTACAGTTTAGGAAAGGAAATCCGCTTTACCTCAATTATAAACAAGGAAAATCTTATGTACAGTTAAGCTCCTTTCAAGCTCCACATTAGTATAAGAAATACTGTCACTAGCATCATGAACACTGCTCCAATGTTTGGTTTTCACAGTGGCTTAATAAGGCCTGCAAGTGTGACTGCCAGGGAGGAAGTGGATCAGTGCCATCTTCTAGAATAACTGGACTGGACTGCATGCCGGGTGAGTGCAATAACTTGATATTCATCCAATGGGTGAAGGGGACACAGCACCTAAGCTAAAGCGCATACACAGGACTAGGACTGTAGGTAACACTCAGCGCTAGGAATGAAGGGGACATAGAGCACTAGGAAAGAAGGGGACACACGGCACTAAGAATTAATGAGACACACAGCTCTTGGAAAGAAGGGGTCACACCACACTAGGAATGAAGGGGACACGTAGCACTAGGGATAAAGGGGACACACAGCACTAAGGATGAATGGGACACGCCAAACTAGGGAAGAAAGGGACATGCAGCACTACTGTAGAACTGAAGGGGATTCACAGCACTAAGAATGAATGGGACATGCCACACTAGGAAAAAAAGGACACACAGCACTACTGTAGAACTGAAGGGGATACACAGCACTAGAACTGAAGGGGATACACATCACTAGAACTGAAGGGGATACACATCACTAGGCCTAAAGGAGAGACTAAGCATTAGGACTGAAGCAGATTTGCAGCATCAGAACTAAAGGGGATACAAAGCTATATCACTCAAGAGGACACAACGCACTAGGAATTAAGGGTACTTGCAGCACTAAGAATGAAGGAGACACACCACACTAGGAATGAAGGGGATATGCAGCACTGGAACTGAAGATGTTATGCAGCAACAGGACTGAAGGGGGAACACAACATGAGGACTGAAAGAAACATGCAACACTAGGACCAAAGGGAACACACAGCACCAGTAAAAAAGAAGACAAGTAGTACCAGAACTGAGAGGGACACAAATCACTAGGACTGAAGAGGGCATAGAAGAGGGAGTACACAGCCCCAGTTTTGAAAGGGACACTTAGCACCAGGACTGCATTGGTTAGACCTACTTTTATGCAGATACATATGAAAACAGGCTATGCATTAATTATGTGAAGAGGTGATATGGGGAATGACAAAAGAGGGTGGAAGGTGACCTGCATGAGATGAATGATTTTATTATGTCAGCAACATAGTTCTTGCTCTGTTCTCTGTTAACTTATCTGCTCCCAGGAATGAACATTCAGTGCAGATTAAGCATGCCGTCACCACATCGGCACTTCCATCATGCCTGCCTCTGAATACAGTATATTATATAATTAAACAATAGGCAAATCTCTGTGCCTATAGGCTCCTGACTGATAAGCTAGCTCTGTGTATCACCATTGGGAAATTGGGAGCAACAACTCTAACTCTTGCGTGTAGACCCCCTAAAATTCCCACTGATCCATCAATACAATAGTCTGCCTCACTGACCAATAGGAAAGTGTCAACACTATAACAAAGTACGATTTAAACGATACGATTGAAAACATTTTGTTATATCTGTTTTATATAAGTGTAAAAAAACCTATCGATTTTGTCAGAAATCCAGAGCTGTCCTGTGTCCTCTGCACACTCCCTATGTTATCTCATTGAGCCCTCCTAGTTCTTATGTTGAAATACAGAATAATTAACCTTTATATTGTGGATATCTAACAGTAGGTGTGCTTCAGAAGTTTAGCAAAAAAACACCGGACAGGACTGACACCATTCATTTCGCAAAAAAGCTGTGCATTGTCTGCCCAAAACAGGACTGCCGCCTGCAATGTATCAATTTGGGGAATGACCTATATCTCATAATAAGATCCATTTTTTTAGTTATTGCTCAAAAAAACCTACATGATGGAAATCCTACATTTCCATAATTGTAAGCCCTGAGCAAGGGGGTTGTGTCTGTCCCCAAAATGCGTTGACTGTTTGATCAACATAAACATTAAACTGTTTTTGGAGTCTGAAATCTGATGTGGTCTGGTACTATCTATTTCAGTCCCACAACAGGACTTAGGTGTGAATGGGGCCTAATATCACTTTAACTGTTCTTCAGAGGAAAGGGTCACAATCCCACTATTTATAAATTAGTGTTGAATGAACTCCATTCAATCTGGAAATGTTCCTACTAAATACAAATAATGTCGTTTAATATATAACATATTTTCCAGAATGTCCATATCATAAGCCTCTGGGGTTTGAGTCAGGTGCTGTTACTTCAGATCAGATAAGTTCCTCCAACCAAGACCAGTATACAGGCTGGTATTCTTCCTGGACCGCAAACAAAGCTCGACTCAATGGCCAAGGATTCGGGTGAGTCCCTTCAACAGCATGTTCTGTAATCAATGAAATATATATTATCTAAAACAATGTTTACTGATTTCTGTCCGTGGTCCATTTACAATTGAGTTTGATAATGCAGAATGCGAGAGAGACGAATATTTGGTTGTATTTTCGCATGCATTGCATATATTTTTATCCACACAATTATACAAATAATTATTTGGTGGATTTGATAGGTGTGATTTGTATAATGAAGTGTTATTTACACTTTGGGTGGGTAGCTTACCTTAAGAACTGCACAGTGCAGGTACCACATTCATTTATTACCTGCTGGAGACACGGGACAGGAGGTGAGGGAAAATCAAAATATTTGGCCAGAGTCCAAATGGTAACCGCTTTCCAAAAATACAAAGCCCTGAACGCTCAAAATTGTAAGTCACTGCACTAGGCATTCACTTTTGCTTGAATTTTTCTAACATGGATTGTAATCCCGGTTACTGTTCGCTGTAAATAATTACGTATGTTACATACACACATGCTTAGTAATGTGTAACTCTCACATTACCTCCCCTGACTACTCCTTCATCTGCTAGAGCCATCTTCATGCACGGAGATGATGGGTCAGAGATGACACAGCCATGTACATCCTGGTGCCTGTGTTGCTCTTGGCTGTGTTCACAAATGTCTGACACAGGCGCCGGATGCAGCCTTATGTCTGCTCATATGTGGGCAGACAGCATTTTGATTGCCTGGTGATTAGCATTAGGGATGAGCCGAACACCCCCGTGTTCAGTTCTAATTCGAACTTTCGAACATGGAAAAAGTACGGTCAGGTGCAATACTGTAGACAATTACCGTTTCGGACGGCGCAGTGCATTGTGGGATGTTCCCGTAATGTTCGGCGAACGCTAGAACAGGCTATGTTCGAGTCGAACCTATGTGCGACTCGAACATGCAGCCCATCCCTAATTAGCATTCCCCTGCCAGGCCCAAACAACATGGCACTGTCACAATGTTGCAGTCTAATGCTTCCTTCTACCTGCAGCACACTAATTGAGAGTCTCCTGAGACCTCTGTACTGGTAGGCCTAGGTGAAATGTCTTTCCTGCTCTTTTAATAAAATGGCCCTTTATGAAAGGTAAATTCTAACAATGAGTGAATCATTAAAATGTGCTAGGTTGGCAAGGATATGTATGATCCGTGTAATACATGCTTGTCCATTAACTCATTGATTAAGGGACAAGGATGAGAAGTGGTTGGCTTTCTTCAGGTGTGGTTAGAGAGGACCCACTGTATATTCTGCAAAGAGGAACCGGACTGGTAAGGATTCAAAAAGACCTTGTTAGCAGTTCACTGAGTGGATTGGTTGGCCAAGCAGAATCTAAGTTTAATCAAGGCTCCCTGCATACACGTGTTCCTTGCACATATGGCATATAAAACATAAACGGTAAAACGGGTTCACTTCTTTAAAATGCTGCTTCATCTACATTATATTTGTTATTGAAAACCATGTTCTTGTCATCCTGTCAGGTGTGCATGGCTATCCAAATTCCAGGACAATAGTCAGTGGCTACAGATTGATCTAAAGGACATAAAAGTTATCTCGGGGATTTTGACACAGGGAAGATGTGATACAGATGAATGGATGACCAAGTACAGTGTGCAGTACAGAGTGGAGGATTCATTGAACTGGGTTTACTACAAGGACCAAACTGGAAACAATCGGGTTAGTTTTCACTATTTTAGGCAAAGGTAAAATGTAATATGTAAATAATTAATTACTTAGTACGTGTATTAATAAATAAGTATGAAGGAATGGGCTGAATCAGTCCCTCTACAATGGGCTATGCCTGCGAGGTCTTTTAATTTATGCATGGGGTTACTTTGTTCATCTCCTGTTTTTCACATTGAGCCCGAGGAACAATTTGCTTTTTCAAACGGCTCACATGGAGGCTGCCTTTGCTGATCTCTCTTTCTGAAAATGCCTAGCTGTTTAACTGTTATGCTGATCCAGTGGCGTCAATACTTTCTGGTATGGTCATACTTTCCATCAGGGTTGACAACACTGTCATTCCGATTTCAGTGCAGGAGAGGCAGCTCATTACAGTAAGTTAGGAGCTCAATGGATCTCTGGAAGGATCAACAAGTATGGTTCTGTTCATGAGAAAACACATGGGGAGATGTGAATGGACTACAGAAATCTCACTTGATGACATATGTATACGTAATTATGAAATATGGTCAGAAAAATTATGGTTGTTTATGGCAAATGATCCCCTTTGCCAAGACTGTCCCTAAGGTATTCGCTGTCTGAGGTTGTCGTTCTGGGGGTGGTGCCTGTCAGGGAATGGTCACTGGTGGGGGGAGCCTTGCCAGCTGATTTGTCGTTTGAAGGGGGGGGGGGGGGGGCTGTGGCAACCGGGC